TTACTTGGAACAATGGGACATTCAATTTATCCTAACTGCACTTAAATCTCTCCAATTAGGCAAGGTAAAGCTAATTTTTCCCTCTCCTGGTTCATCCTGCCAGTGAGCAGTGATGGGTCCTGACAGAAATCCGCTGAATATTTTGCTCAAAATAAGTTCAAAAGCCCCAAGAGCACACCCAGGCTAACAAAAAGATAAATGCTTCTGAGAGCTTTTTTTCATCGTGTTGCCCCCAGAGCAGATTTTTGGACTATTGTAGCAAATCCCAGGCTGGGGAGGGAAGAGGGAGCTGCTGCATCCTGTCCTTCTGCAACTGAGCCAGCTCTTTATTGGTTTTAAACCCAGCTTGAAAAGTCTAAATAAGCACATGTCACGATTTCAAGGGCTGCTTTCTTTTGTTTTCTTTTTACAGCTTGATACAACTGTATTTTTTGCAGGGAAAAAAAAAAAACCACATGCAGACTAAATAAATAAGAATACCAGTGCTTATGTTTTAGTATTTTTATCAATTCTTTGTAAATTCCCAGCAGTTCAACAGGAGTATTTAAAGACTGTGTTTATATGCAGGTTTTGGGGAAATAATTCTGCCTAATTGGGTTTGCTTTTTGTTATTTATATGAATATAATGGCAAAGCATAATAGTAGCCAGTTTCTGCTTCAGAAAAATAAAGTGACAACAAGAGTGGGGTTTGTAGTAACACCATATATTTTTATATATAATTATATATGTTTTATATATCCCAGCTTCACCAGCCAGGTATAACTTTGCAGCAACACAGGAATTTCTGAGTCTTTCAGGATGGGTTATCTCCCCTGCACACCCCAGTTTATCTCCCCTGCACGCCCCAGTTTGTCCCCCCAGCCCTCTGTACTCTAAATTCTCCATCCCCTACGTGTCTTCCCCAAGCCTGTCCCAACTCATCTTCCCTTGGCCCTATCATTTAAATGCTTTCTTTTCTTGGTGCAATATATTTATGCTCCCATTCCATGTCTATCCCTCTTTACCATGTTTCTTTATATGACATTTTTACTGCTGGAGCATCTCCTTGGGAAGGGTTTATGTGGCTCAGCTCAGAGCTGGGCCTGGGTTTGGTATTTGGGATACCTGGAATGGCTTCTTGTTTTTGTTTAGGCTCATCTTCACTATTTCTGCTTTTATCTTGCCAAGAGTACTTTGCAAGTTTGACCCATGATAAGAGGTGCATCATAACAAGATCTGTAAAGTTTGATCCACAACAAGAGAAGCTGAAATGATGGATCAACCCAAAAAGGTTCTTTTTACTGGATCTGCAACACTTCCTGTGCAAAGCCACCCAGCCACCCATCAGATCAGCTTTTCCCTTTGCCTAAATGTGCTGGGATTAAGTGTGGAAGATGCTGGTTCACTGAGTGGCAGCAGGATTGTGCAGGAAAAGGTTTTATTTTGTTTTATTTTATTTTTAATTTTATTTATTTATTACATTTTTTTTTTAATTTTATTTTTTTTTAATTATCTGTGGAGGCTGAAATCTCCCATTAGATGGCAGCAGCTGCAGCCATTCCTCCCAAATGCAACCTTGCTGCTGCAGAGAAGGACCACCAACAGGGCCCAAAGTGGGAGCTGAAAAATAAAAGGCTTCCCAGAACAGCAGGCAGAAAGAAAAAGTCTGTCTTGTTCCACTGGAAATCACCTCTAGAAAAAAAGGCTGGAGTTTGTGCCCAAAGCACGAGTTACTCCAAACCTCCACACGAAACTTGGAAATGAATTTTTCATTGCCAGGCTGGGAGAAGTACCAGGAAAGCAAATAAATCACGTTGGAAAACATGGGCAGCGCGTTGCACTTGAAAGCATCTTTTATCTTTAATAATTCACGATCCCGGCAAACATTCCCACTCTGGAATCAAAGGCACCACTCCTTTGCAAGCCCTTAAATGCCTGCATGAGCATTTGGAGGAGGATCAAGGCCTGAGATATTAATAGCAAGCAGGAAATGCATATTTGGACCACAGGAATTTTTTTTTTAAAACCAGGTTGTTTCCTTTTAAACTGTAATTCCTCAAGGCGCTCCACGAGAATTAGAGGAGCTGCCTCAGCCAAGCCAAGATTGGGAAGGTCTCGGATACCAGCCCAAAGCCAGCAGGCGTTTACTCCCGTGGATGAATCCACCTTGGAGAATTCAGAGGAGCTTCTGACAAGTTGGAACAAATCTTCAGCCAAAGCTTTCAGTGTCCCAACCAGGGGTTTTGGGTCTTGCCCAGCAGCATCTCCCAGAATTTCACCCCATTCCCCCTGAAAGGCAGTAAAATCAGGATGAGGAGACCATCCCACTCCCCACACTGGGATTGACAGGGAGTCAAACCTGGGGAGTCCTTTTTCTCACAATGTTTAATTCAGCTGCAGAATTCAGCACTGCAGGAAGCTGTTGAGGTCAAGAACTTTTAAATGAGGCTGCTCTGAGCAACCTGGTCCAGTGGAACAAGGGCGGTGGAATGAGATGATCTTTAAGGTCTCGTCCAACCCAAACCATTCCAGGATTCTGTGAAAAGGGAGCAGAGAGATACCAAAAACACCTGTCTCACCACCAACAGCTGCCTCTGAAAATGCAATTAATTGCAATTAAGAACTAAAGTCCAGGCCTGAGAATGGGGTGAGACTGAGACCTCTTGTTCCTGCTTTCTCCTGAGCTTTTCATGCTAGGGGTGGCTCCAGGGACCTCCTCTTGCTCCATCTCCCAGCCCTTTACTCCTGGAAGTCTTTCCCATGTTTTTTAGGGCTTTCCCATGTTTTTTAGGAAGTGTTAACTGCATGCTCATTGCTTGTCTCTTGAGCTGTGGGAATGGGCATCCACGTCCCCCCTGGGGTTGGATGTAACTGGGGTCCAGGGGGGCACTGGGTGGGTCTCCCTGGGGGGCTGGAGGAGATAAATGGGCCCGAAGGAGCTTCTGGTGGGGCTGGAAGGGTGATGGGTGGGTGCTATGGGGCAATGCTGGGAACTTTAGGGGTGCTTGAGGGTGGAGGGAGGTGTTATGGATGCTGTGGGATCTGGCTGTGGAAGGCTTAGGGGTGCTGGGGAGGGGCTCAGGGGTGCTGTGGGCTCAGGGGTGCTGTGGGCTCAGGGGGTCTTGGTTACTGGGGGGTGTTTGAATATGCTCGGGGTTCATGTGGGTGCTGTGTGGGGTGTCTTAAGGTGATGCTGGGGGTGTGGGGGTGCTCAGGTGGTTCTTGGGGGGGGTTGTGGGTCATAGGGGAGTCAGGCAGGTGCTGGGGTGGTCTCAAGGTGTTCATGGGCTCAGGTGGGTGCTGGGGGGTGTCTGTGGGTGCTGGAGGAGTCAGGCAGGTGCAGGTGGAGGTCTCAAGGTGTTTAAGGGCTCAGGTGGGTGCTGGGGAGCATCTTAGGGGTTCTGGGGAGGTCTGATGTTCGGGGGGGGGGGCTCAGGCTGCTGCTGGAGGGGGGTTGAGGGCAATCACGAATTCAGGTGGTTGCTGGGGGGAAGGTGTCTCCGTGTTCTGGGGTGAAACGTCCAGGGGGATGTCTCAGGGGGACTCTGGGCTCCGGTGGGTGTTGAGGAGGGGTCTCATGGCCACGGGCATGGAGGGACACGGATAACGGGGGGTGTAGGGGGAACGGGGGGAAGTGTCCCGGGGCCAGGGCCTGTTGAGGGCACCGAGAGCTGTTGATGGACCCCGGCGGTGTCGGGGGCACCGGGAGCTGCTGATGGACCCCGGCGGTGTCGGGGGCACCGGGAGCTGTTGATGGACCCCCGGAGGTGTTGATGGACCCCCGTCGGTGCCGGGGACACCGGGAGCTGTTGATGGACCCCCGGCGGTGTCGGGGGCACCGGGAGCTGTTGAAGGACCCCCGGAGGTGTTGATGGACCCCCAGAGCTGCCGGGGGCACCGGGAGCTGTTGATGGACCCCCGGAGGTGTTGATGGACCCCGGAGCTGCCGGAGGCACCGGGAGCTGTTGACGGACCCCGGAGCTGCCGGAGGCACCGGGAGCTGTTGATGGCCCCCGGAGCTGCCGGGGGCACCGGGAGGTGTTGATGGACCCCGGCGGTGTCGGGGGCACCGGGAGGTGTTGATGGACCCCCGGAGCTGTTGATGGACCCCGTCGGTGTCGGGGGCACCGGGAGCTGCTGATGGACCCCGGAGCTGCCGGGGGCACCGGGAGCTGTTGATGGACCCCCGGAGGTGTTGATGGACCCCGGCGGTGTCGGGGGCACCGGGAGGTGTTGAAGGACCCCGGAGCTGCCGGGGGCACCGGGAGGTCCCGGCCGTGGCGGAAGAGGAAGCGGCGGCGGCGGGTCCCGCCTCCATCGCGGGCGGGGCGGGAGGAGCCGGAGCCGGCGGCGGAGCGGGGCGGCCCCGGGCGGGCACCGGGTGAGGCCGGGGGCGCTTCGGGGGTGGCCGGGGAGGGGGGTCCTCGGGGGTCCCGGAGCGCTGAACCGCGACCCCGCACCGTGGGCTCGGGCCTGGGGGGGCTCCCGGGCTTGTGGAGGCCCGAGCCCGGCGGCGGGGGTGGGGGGGGGGATGTGTGCTCTGCTGCGATTTATGGATTTATTTTTAAAAATAACCCCCTGGCTGGGGCTCCTCTGCCTCAGAGAGAAAGAGGGGCGAGGCTGTGGGGCTGTGGCTGGGCGAGGGTCCCTCCGGAGGGGTTTCAGCCCAGGGCTGGGACCTGACCCTGGGGCAGGGCGAGGGGGGCGGCATCAAGGGTGTTAAAGAGGATGGGAGTGTATTTTTATATATATATTTATTGTCTATACCTATTTACATAGATATGTTTCTATATGTGTGTGTATATATATATTCTATATTTGTATGTATATATTTCTATGTATATATAGATACATATTTCTATATGTGTATATATAGATACATATTTCTATATGTGTGTATATAGATACATATTTCTATATGTGTGTATATAAATAGAGATGCATATTTCTATATGTGTATATATATATATATATATATGTATTTCGTTGTAGGTTCACCAACAAGGCACGCAAGCTTTCCTTTTAAAAAGGAAAGACTCCTCCAGCAGCGTTTCTATCAAAATATTTACCTTCTAAATCCTTGGACTAAACACCCACCTCAGGACTGGGCTCTTGGGTGGAAACCCTTCAAGCCAAGGGCCGTTGCTGTTTCTGTTTGTGGAGAGAGGCTGCTTATTCCTCCCAGGGTGGTGGAGTTCATAAAAAACCAGAATAACATATGGGTTCCTCGTTTAAAGGCCTTTCTCTGAGGGGTTTGCAGGGGATAAGCCCAGCTCAGTGTGTGTGATGGTACAGTAGCCTGTTGTTACTGTTTTGTCTGTTTTATTGTGGGGATAGGAAGGGAAATAATGGGTTGTTATTTGATTTTTAAGGCCTCATCTGTTCTCCCAGCAATGTGGGAGCATAATGCCTTATTTCCTAGCTGAGGATTGAGTTACTCTTGACTTTGTCAAGGAGCTTCGTTGGGTTTTTTAGTGGCTTGTCTACAAAGGTGTGGGATGCAAATGTAGAGGGGTGGGAACTGGGATGCATCTCGGTGTTGTATCACAGTAGGATTCTTGTGCTGTTTGGAAAGGGGGAAACCGCCACGTTTGACAGCATTTCCGTGGGGATAATTGTTGTAAGTGCTTCCAGGCAGATCCTGCAGGCAGGGGAAGCTTGATGAGTCTGCTGGAATTCGGCACGGGACAGCTTCATACGTGAAGGCTTTGGCACTCGGGAGCCAGAGGACACTAGATAACCTTTCAGACCATTTAGCACAGCAGGTACTGTGTCAAGGCAACTGCAGTAATCAGGGGAAAAGGGCATTTAATATCCTGCAGATGTGCTGGCTCTTGCTTGTTACATGAATCAGAGTATTGCATGAATGAAAGTAAAACAATGGCTTGTTTTTATCATCATGTGCGTGGCAGGTGCTTTACAGACGAGAAGAAAAAGTCCCTGCCTTGGAGAACTTAATCTATAATGAGATATTATTGATCCAGCCTGCTCTGGGGCAGCTTTGCTTGCCCATGGGGCTGCTCAGGTGGTAAGATCTGGGACAAATATTTGCGTGGAACACAAGGAATGTCGGTAGAAGAGGGCCAGGAGCTAATTAACCTGGCAAAGTAGTGCAGTGTGTTCTCATTGTGCACTTGGGGTTAGGTTTTAATTTGGCATTTTACCCTTTTGGTGTTTGTAAGGCTGTGGCTGGAAATTTGACACTAATATTAATAGAACATGTGACACTAACTGCTGGAGTTGGATGCTTAGGCAGCTGCTGACCAAACAAATCAGGGTTATTTTCCAGCCAGATAATTTTCCTGATCTGATTCACCATGTGACCACATAAACAAGTGTGCAAGAGCAGGACAGGGAGCTGATCTTGGGAGGAGAGGAGCAATGGCTGAAGCTGGTAGTCCTGTGAAAAGTGCCCTAGCTCTGCAGAAAAACATGTATTGAAATTGCCACTGCTCGAGTTCTGACTTTTAGGAGCACATGGTTTAGGGGGAGAGCTGTTAGCCAGTGCTATAAAGGCAAATCAGAGTACAAATTTGGTTGCCTCACAAGAATATCTTATTTTTTGATATATCCATACATAGATGTGAGGCTGATTTGTGCTGTGGGGGCAGCCAGAGCGAGTTACAGCCGAGCAAATCTAAGTTTAGGTGGCACTTTACACTGGGCTGATCAGCATGAGCTGGTTCCTGAGGCCAGGCAGTTTTAGAGCAAAAAGGAGGCAGTGGCCTGATTTCCAGCTGTGAGTATTGATTGTCCTTCTTGTGTTTTTCATGATGGTCCTCAGTCTGTGCTTCCAGGGCAAAGCATTGCTAAACTCTCTCTCCCCAGTTGTCCCAGTTTACACCAGATTAGGGTTACCCAGCTCAGAAAACAAGAGGCAAAGCAAAACTTGGCAGATTCTGCCATTCCCCCAGCAGTGTTTTTCCAAGGCAAAATGTCTCTTTACCGATGGGATTCTCACATTGGCAGCTTCTACCTTGTCCAGCAATTTATTTCCATCTTTTCTTCAGCCCATCTGCGAGGCCTTTGTGGCAGAGGGCGAGTGGGAGAGAAACATATTTCTTCTTTTTTTTTTTTTTTTGCCATTTAGTGTTTCTTGCTCGTAGATGTGTTCTTACAAGCTTATGTTCTTGCTGAGATATTTAGTTCTGTGGCATTTCTGCCTGTGACGACCTGCAGGCAAATTTGGGAGAGAGAGGAAGGTGGGAGCTTTGTTGCCTGCAAGAGCAGCTGCTGTCGCAGGTTGCTGTTACTCAATAATCAGTTGGCCTGGACATTAGGTTGCGAAAATTTAAACAAATTGTAAACTGCTGAACTTTGCCCCACACATCCTGCTTGTTTCCCTGTCCTGCTCCTATTGCTGACGGGTGGGGATTTCACGAAAACAAATCCAGGTTAAAATAAGCGACTGAAATTACAGCGCGGGAGAGCTTAACTTGGCTGCTGCGTGTGACGATCAGCTTTGTGCTGTTGGCTTTTGTACTGGGTGAGCAATCGCTTTATGGGACGGATTCATTTGGAAGAGATGAATAAATGGAGTTTCATTGATTTCTGGGAGGCTTTGTTCATTTACATGAGCTGCGGCTCTCCGCCGGTTCTGCTCTTGTTGGGGGATTTCACGGCTCCTTTGAGTCGGAGGGAGATCCTGAGCCAGCAGAGGCTGTGAGGGCTGCAGCTGAACGTTGTGCTGCTGGCTGGGAGCAGGTTTGCCCCAGAGGCAGCCTTCCTGCTCTCCTGGGCATTGGCACGTTCCAGGGATCCCTGTGCACACGCTGGTGCTGAGCTGTGGGATTTCTGTTAACGCACCCAATCTCTCCACAGGGATTTCTCGTCAGAGGCCATGGAGCTTTCGGCCAACGAGCTCAGCATCTATGACAAGCTCTCAGAGACGATTGACCTGGTCAGGCAGACTGGCCACCAGTGTGGCATGTCAGAAAAAGCCATTGAGAAGTTCATCAAACAGCTCTTGGAAAGGAACGAACCCCAGAGGGGCCCTCCACGGTACCCTCTCTTAGTGGCTCTCTACAAGGTAAGGTGGCTGCTGTGCATGTACATCATTTGAGGGTCTGAGTCCTCCTTTTGCACCTGAGCCTTTTATTTCCCACTGCATCTTCTTGATGAACTTTCCAAGATCTTTGTTTAAAAGCTGGGAAGTGTAGCTTCCTTCCTTTGTGCCATGAGCTGGTTTGAGAACAGGAGACAGCTGACAAAGATTTGAAATTGCTCATGTGTGCTGAAAATTTACCACATCAACACCTTCCTCTCCCTTAAATTATTAAATAATGAGATTTTGATTCGTTTTTCAGATAAAGATTCCCTGTGTTGGCAGTCTGAGTGGAAATATGAGGAAGGAAATTCTTGAAGTTCAGGGTTGAATAATGAACCCAACTCTGACCCTGCCACAAGCCTCTACCTGTCTTTATTCTCCTTCTAGTCTATAAAATAAACCTGCTACCATCATGCTTGATGGTAGAAGAAATGTTTTGAAACCCTTAACTAAAAGATGCTGTAACAAGTTTTGCAAAGTGGGTGAAAGGATGCTATTGTTAGGTAGGTTTGAGGTCACAGAATCCCAGGCTGGTTTGGGTTGGAAGGGACCTTAAAGATCATTTAGTTCCAAGCCCTGCCATGGGCAGGTACACCTTTCACTAGAGCAGGTGCTTGCTACAAGGATGAAAACCTTCCCACTGACATAATATTCAGTAATAACTTTAGTGTCATCTTTACAAAACCATCACAAGGGTTTCTATTTGGAAAAAAAAAAATCCAAGCTTTCTTCCTCATGTCCTATAAAAAGCTGTAAAATGAGGCAGGAGAACAGGAAGCTGCAAACTTGAACTTTCAGCTTCTGTTCTTGTTTTTGCTGTTGATTCAGTTTGACTTTGGCCGGGGGGGGGGGAGAAATGTGTCATGTCATCTCTGGGAGGCTTATTTGGGATTCTGGTATGGAGGAGGGAGCTGGTGCCAACTCTGCCAGAGTGTTTCGAGGCTTGACGGATGTTTGCAAAAGCCACAGGGTTTTCCTTGTGTAAGAGGGATGGCAGGAGTGCAAGTTTTTATTTGATTAGGTGGGAGGAATCGGAACTATCTGTAGATAATCCTCATTGATCTCCTGCTGGATTATTTGCAGTGCTGAAATACAGGAGCAGGGTTGTGTGGTTTGGGTTTGAAGGCTGCTTAATTTCATCCTCGGGCAGCCCTAATAATAAAGCTGAGTGACAGCTCTGTACATAAATAGCAGTGCAGCTGAACGAGGAGCCACAGCAAAAATGAGTGTTCACCTCACAGTGCACAACCACAGCCCTTTGGTACCAGCCAGAAGGTGTGTCCTGGGCTGAGGGCAGCTCAGCTCCCTGCAGGACAGTTAACTCTGTGCCTGTTTTCCCTCACAGGGCCTGCTCACTCTGGGGTTGGTCTTGCTGACTGTTTACTTCGTGATCCAGCCCTACAACCCGCTGCCTCCCGAAGCTCCACTCTCCAGAGCCCAGGCCTGGGGCTCCCTCATCGGCCACATCCGGCTGCTCCCTCTGCCCATTGCCAAGAAGTACATGCTGGAGAGTAAGGAAATGATTTCTCTGCTGTAACATAAGCCTAGCAAGAAATACCAATCTAAATACCAGCCACAGAAGTGTCTCCCAGGGCACCAAATAACAAATGTGTTAGTGGCTTGGCATCGTGGTTTTCTCTTTTCCTATTTAAAAATAGCATCCTGAGTTCTGTCTTCATTGGGGCTGGAGCATATTTTATGTCTAACTTGATAATTTTGTTCTTGCACATTCTCTTCTCCTTGCTTTTAACACCTCGGGTTTTTTCTTCCTCAAGAGCTCCCTTTCCTCTAGAAATCTCTGCAGTTCTGAGAAGCAGAACTGAGACAGCTCTGCTGGCTAAATGTCACCTTTTCTTACTTCTTCTGAGTAATGCAAAAACAGTTTCTCAACCAAACCTTGGTATCTGTGAGCAAAGCGTAGAAACCTCAACGTGTGACCTGGGTTTAAGGAAAAGTAGTTTTTGCCAAGTGGTGTATTGGGAAAGGACTGGGGGCTTGAGTGCTGTGGTGTTTGTAGCAGCTAATATAACATTAAGGGCAGTGTGTGTGTGAGGAAGTCAGATAAGGGCTCCCTAATGAGGTGATCCCATCACAGCAGAGGAACATCATAGATTTTCCTAGAATGGCAAAACAGAAATGGAAAAGTTTGGGTATTTCTCATTCTCAGTTAATTATTTCCACTGACTTAGCCTGGCAGATGGGTGCGAGCCTGGGCTCTGCCTCTCTGCTGAAACACAAAGACTGTCAGGAATGATAAAGCTGGGAATTATTTGGAGCAGGGTTGTGGCACAATATTGATGGTCTGTCGGCTCACTGTAAAAACAAACTCCTGTACCTGTGCCCTCGATGGGTTTATATTTAGCTTGGGCACCTCATTGTGTTGGAGTTGTCTGTGCTGGCTCTGACCTTCCTGGCAGAGCTAAAAAGGGCTCCCTGAAATGCCAGCACCATTCTGCATTCTCTGTGTGTGTCTCCCTCTCTTCCCCTGACGTTGATTCGGGTTTGTATGGGTGGGACAGGGTATCCCCCATTGTTCCTCTCCTTCCTTATACACTGGGATCTCTCTGGGAGTGAAAAAACAAAGGGGAGGAGATGGCTCTGATAAGCACCTGACATTAGGAGCCTGCTTATCTACTGCATTTCAGCTTTGCCACGAGTGAACACCCCTCTGCTCCTGTATGGAGATGGGAACTTTAATGCACTGTTTCACTTTTCACAAGGGATGGAGTGACAGGACAAGGGGGAATGGCTTCCCACTGCCAGAGGGCAGGGTCAGATGGGATACTGGGAAGAAATTGTTCCCTGGGAGGGTGGGGAGGCCCTGGCACAGGTTGCCCAGAGAAGCTGTGGCTGCCCCATCCCTGGAAGTGTCCAAGGGCAGGTTGGACAGGGCTTGGAGCAACCTGGGCTAGTGGAAGGTGTCCCTGCCCATGGCAGGGGTGGGACTGGATGAATTTTAAGGTCCCTTCCCACCCAAACCATTTTGTGATTCCATGATATTTGTTCAGTCAGATTTTGTCCAGAAGGTTGAGAGGTTCTTCCTTCAGATACCACAGGGTTGGGATGAGGAGAGCCCAGGGAGGTTCCGTGGGACAGCAAAAGGTTTGTAGGACAAGGGCTGCCTGAAATCATGAGCATCTTCTTGTGAAGATAAATAAGAGCAGGAGCAATTCTGGGCTACCTTTGGGGAAACAAGCTGAATGGTGAGGAGACTGGGAAACATGGAAAGGAACAGGGGAAAAGGGAAGGGTGGATGCAGAGGAAGGATGTGATGTTGTTTAAATGCACATAAAATCCCTCATGCTTCTGTGAGTCCTGGAAATCTGCAGAAGTGGTGAGCAATAGGGTGGGCAGCAAGCCAGTTCTGGGGAAAGGAGGAGAGGGGACAAGGGGATGAGGCAGTTGCCACTCTTGTTTTTCCACAGCATTAGGTTGTGGTGGAAGCCACAGCATGTCCCAGTTAACACACTGACTAGGGATGGCTGGGCAGACTTTGATCCTGCCTCGGCAAAGGGGACTGGAGGAGACCCTGGCTCTTTGCATGGGAGGGTGCAGCACCCAGCCTGAACCTTGGCTGGGTTCCTGTGGGAATCCCTCGTGTCTTGGCTTCCCAGCAGGCAGCTGCAGCCACCAGGGCTGTCCCAGTGCCACTGGTGTCACCTTCACAACTTGCTGCTTAGAGGACACTGGTAAAGCTATCCAGTGGGGATCTGGAAGGGGGAGTTTCATGACGTGGGGCTGAGTGATCTAATAAGCTCTTTCAGCCCTGCCTTGTGCATGTTTTCTATTATTTTGCCCCTAATTTTGGCCTTGTGGTCTATTGAAGGGAAGGGGTAAAGTTGCATCTTGTCATCCTGTTTGTTACTGGGAGCATAAGGCTGGGAGGTCTTGCAGGCAGGTCTGGTGTTCTCTGATCACAGAATCCCAGAATTGTTAGGGTTGGAAAGGACCTCTGGAGATACCCAATCCAACCCCCCTGCCAAGGCAGGGCCACCTGGAGCAGGAGACACAGGAATGTGTCCAGGTGCCTTTGGAATGTCTCCAGACAGGGAGAGTCCACACCCTCCCTGGGCAGCTGTTCCAGCTCTCTGCCACCCTCAGTGTAATGAAGTTCTTCCTCGTGTTGAGGTGAAACTTGTTGTGTTTTAGTTTATGGCCATTGCTCCTCATCCTGTCACTGGGCACCACTGGATAGAGTCTGGCACCATCCTCTTGGCACCCTTTGGAGATATTTATATGCATTGATGAGATCCCCTCTCAGTCTTCTCTTCCCTAAAATGCACGTTTGCACTGAGCAGCAGAGAAAACCACTAACGAAGGGACTCCGTGTACAGACTCCTCTTCCTTTCCTTGCGTAGATCCTGGTGGATGAAAATTTTGAGGGGGCTGAGGATGAAACTTGGAGCTTTCTGTGCTCGGGCACCAGTTCAAATCCAGCTGGGGCTGTTCTTGTTGAAAGCCACCTGTTGTCAGTGTGGAGGCTGCCTGGGCCCACCGGCAGCGCTGGCACCGTTCCCGCGGTGCGGACACGGCCCGGCCGAGGCGAGCGTGGGCGCGCGGGTGGTCTGGTTCCTTCCTCGTGGGGCTGCAGCCTGGGATGTGCTGCCCCTCCTGAGCTGTGGGGCAGCTTTCCTGTGTCCGGGATTGAGGTTGGAGCCCGGTCCCCTGGTAGGTGTGGGCCGAGCAGCCAGGTTTGTGTTGCAGAACAAGGGGAGCTCAGTTGCTTGGTTTCCCCCAAGAGCCCCACGTCAGAGCGGTGATGAGGCTCTGGGAGGAGCAGGGCTGCAGGATTTGCTCCCTTCTCCCTCCTGCCAGTGGTGACCTGACCTCCATCCTTGTTCCTTTCACCTAAGAGCCGTGCTGTGGGTGACAAGGGCTGCCTGTCTGTCGGTGGCTGTGGGTGGACCTTTGAGCAGCCGAGGTGAGGAGCAGCATCCACAAAGCTCTCTTGCGTTAAGTTTGTAGGATTGGGTCCAAAGTAAATTTCCTTTTTGCCTGTCTCTGTGCTCTGTTGCTCCCTGGCTTTCTCCCCCGGATCAATCCCATATTAAACCCAGTGTTCCCACCCTTTGTTTCTTCAAAGCTGACTCTCAGACCCTTGGGTTTAGCATCCATGCTTCTCTTTCAGCTGTTTTCCCAGGGCAAGATCCCTTCAGCTGGGGAAAAGATCTGTGGAAATGTGGTTTGCATTTGCTCTTCCTGAGCTGGTGTTTATGCAGAGCTCATGAAGGGCTCAGTGCTGGGTCACACTGGCTGTTCCAGGCCTGCAGCTCTTGTCCAGGCACATCAGTGCTTCACGTAGCCCCAGGGAGGTGATGGGTTGTCAGACCTGTGGGTCTGCCTGCTGTACAGAACACAGTGGATTTTGATGGGCATGTGGGTTAACTCAAGGCTATCTAATGCTGTTCCAAGGAGAAAGTAGGGTCTGTGTAACCTGGATTCATTTCTCTCCTCTGACATAGGCTGGGGTGGCAAGTTATTCCCTCTGTGTTTCAGTTCTCTGGTGCAAAGTAGGGGTGTGAGTACTTCCCTCTCCCTTACAAGCATTAGGAAGTAATATATGAGTTGTCAAAGTCTGTAGTAATCAAAGCCAAATGAAAAGGGGTTTTCTGTTCTTTTAAACAGAAGTTTTAAAACCACAGTGGTGGTCACTCTACTTGATTTCCAGTGGTTCTTCCCTTTGCAACTGTGTGTCATCTTTATAGCTTTTTTAATGTCTGAATATGAATTTTTATGTCACCTGGTTGGTGACTGCTCCCTGCCAGCCACACAATGATGTGATGGGCAGAGCATTAAGCTGCTCCCAGATTAACTTGTGTGTCTGCCCATGGGAAGTTCGGTCCTTGCAGCTCAAAAACCTCAGCAGAGCAGGTCTGTCAGTGGGGTGCAGGCTGTGGTCCAGCAATGGGACAACTTGCTGATAGCAGGGGGCTCTAATGACCTTGAGGAAAATCCAGCTTTGCTTCTCTTAAGGAGACCTGGGCCTGGCCACACTGATCCTACACAGCTCAGAATCAGCTGGGTCAGAAGCTGCTCAGCACACCTGGAAAAGGGATGCTGTGCAAGTTACCCCCAGCTTGGAGAACGCTCCTTGTGTTAAATACTCCTTTTTGCTTAGACCAGTAGGGCTAAAATCCTGTTTATGGGGTTCATACATAATTGTTTCAGAGCAAGGAACCCAGCTGGAGGAGCAGTGTTTAGCAGCACCTTGTAAATGGCCTGGCACTGTCACATCCCAGGGCCTGCCGGGTGCCAGAGCTATTTGTGGGGACGGGTCACAGCAGGCTGGGTTACTGGGGGAGGACAGCAGCTGGTTACTGGGAGAGGGCAGCAGCCTTTGCCTCTTGGCTGGCCACCTTGGGTTTAGCTGGAGGCTTGCCTTGGCTCCTGGCCAGCTCCTGTCTTCTCTCTGATCTTAACCCTTTGCAGGCAGCCTGCGAGGGGCCAAACACATTTCCTTTCTCTCCTCTGACTGTAGCCTTGCAGTGTGTTTATCCTTGGCACAGCTCTG